GTAATCATAGCCATTCCTATTTAAAAGTATGAAATTTAGTGAGCCCTAAATATGCCAGCGAATTCCTAATACATTACAATTAAGAATTAATTGAGGTAATATAATTGGTATGTAGAAGGCATACATACTATTATTTCAACTACAGTGACAGTGTTAGTAAGTTTCTTTTGTTTTAGAGGGTAGTTTTATCTCAAGTGCCCAGTGGCATGGTGGTATTTAATAGAGACGTTAATAGATTAATAATAGTTTAATAATGGAGACAAAATTTCCAGTTAGATTTAAATTATCATTGAGTAATATAGTTAGTCAAAAGTATAAATAGCTTATTTTAAAAAGGGTCTTAATTAATTATCCAAACCCCCAGACTTACAGAGCCACATAGAAAAGCAAATGTCATCACAAACCAGAACTATGTGCTGGTGGACCAGCACTAAGAATTAAGCAGAATCCTTCCAGAACCCTTGTGTGCCCATGCACCTGATCCATACCGTAAGGATTTCTGTACTGCTCCTCAAGTCCTTCTATGAATAGGTTAGAATGGGTTAGAAATTAATTCTAAATCTCACCATCAAAAAGGGAGTGCTAGAGGTAGATGCATCTCACTTCTGTGTGAGCTGAGGACTAGGGGACATTGGTGAGTCCACATGAGAATGGTGTTAGGGGAGCTAGGAGAAGAACATGTCTTGGGTGCCTTTAAAGAAGAAATGGTTAACTTAGGAGTATGCAAATTTTACTAAAAAATATGTTACATATTTTTAAGTGACTTTACATTCCAGGCAATTTTTATATTAATTTAGAACTCTTAACCCTGAGTGGCAGATAGCAGGATTTTCCTGTTTATTGAACAGCTTGCCCCATGAGCCTAGCACTTTTGGGGGGTCATAATTTTTCTCTTTCCAACCCTGCCCCAGTTCCATTTTCTCAGAGTTTAGTTATGCCACATGAGACTTTGTGTTTCTGCTCCTAAGTGTATCATTAGCGGGGTTCTGAATTCCACATGCTGCAGGAGAGTAGTGGATCATCTTCCTTATATGCTGGAACTAAATTGAAAGAAAAATATGAAGGAAAATTTTGACAAATTTGACTACTTTAAAATAAAACATCTTTCCAAAAATAAAGGACCATAAACACTGTAAGAATATAAGATATAGACATAGATTGGGAGTGTAGAGGATTTACAACTTAATGTAAAAGTGAGGTCCGGAAAATAAATGTTTTGGGGAATTGAGAAAAAATGAATGTTGATCAGCCTTGCCAGTTGCTTGAGGCTTTCAGTGATGTGCCTACTCCTTTTTCCTTTGGAAAAGAGAAAGTTGGGAAGAGGTTGGAAGGTGAGAAGTTTGTTGGAAAGGATCAGAAGCAGGCATGAGGAGGAATTAATGGAATGCTTTAAAGAAAACAGGTCTAAGTGCGTTTATTTTCTTATTTGAACTTTGTGAAAATCTACTTTCATTAAACTAGCAGTACAAATACTTTAATGGTATCTTGTTGAAGCTATTTGGCCCTGCTAGCAGAATTTGATATGGATATTATCAAGTTCTTGGTAGCTTTATATTTGATGTCAACAAGTTGGATAAGTTACATTACATTAGTGCCTGCTGCTAATTAATTACAAGTAAAGTGAACTCAGCACTTCCTGAACAGTAGGTGAAAGGATCTGGAAGCAGGAAGATCTGCTGGTAAACAGTCTCTGACAACATGAGAGACTATGTCCAGGTGCCTGCGGCCGACCTCGAAAAGCCTTATGAACTGACTTCGACCAGGGAGTCGACCACATTTTTATGCCTGAGTAGGTCCAATGATTTCATTGTAGTTCTTGTGACTCTTTCTCTTATTTAAAATAGCTGGTTGTTATTTCTTTTGTGATTACTGTTGCCACAGTCCTTTTATCCTTACGTTATCTTCAACATGGTTTCATTTTATAGAAACCTGAGTAAATTGAATGTTTTAAACCTGTTTTTATGTATTTTCTCTATAGTTGGTAGCTTTTCACTTACAGTAAATGATCAAGAAGGCGCTTTTATTTTGTTTGTTTGGGGCCTTGTAGAGGAACTCGATGTGATCATTTATTTTACTGCATGGAAGTACATTCCTCATCTTAGCCTCATTCCTGCGGTCATGCTCATGGGTCATGGCGTATGGAATGCTCAGATGTTTCAAGTAATTTAGAAATTGTTCAGTTTACCAGATATGGTTGGAATCTCAGCTCCTCTCCCTGCCAGCTGTGTGATGGGACAGTGGGGCCCCTCCCTTAGCCTCTGTTTCCTCATTTGTCAGAGGATAGTGACCACCTCCATGTACGAGCAAATGAATAGTGCTGTCGGGTACGTAGCATAGCACCCACCGCACACCTCAGGTCCTGAAATGGCAGGTATCCCACTGGTGCTGACGTTGTTATTGAAAGATTTTGTGAACCACCTGTAAAATGTGTTGTGATTTTTAGATGATTAGTTTACAGCAAAGGTTTTCACATTGTTGGGAATGCTGTCTCAAGGGCCCTTGAACACCTGCTTGCCCCATTTCAGTACTCCTCTTACTGCATTACTAATAATAGCTCCCATTTTATTGAACGCTTTCTATATGTTACACCCTTAATAAGAACTTTGTATATAATTGTATTCAGTTTCCCAATAAATATGAAAAAAGCATGATTATACCTATTTAACTGTTGGGGAAACCTACGTGAAGTGAGAGAAAGTAGTATGCCCACCCAGCTGGACAGTGAGAGACCTTGGGTTCACACCAGGTCTGCCTGACTCCAGAGCCCATGCCCTTTAACCCCATGCTGCCTGTTTGGCATTTTGCCTCTTTACTCAGCTGTTTCCCCAGTAAGACCTAAGCTTTCTGAAAGTAGGAACTGGATATTCTGTGTATTCCAAGTTCTCATTTTTTAGGCCTCTTTAAACTAGAAGCAATATGTAGTATCAGAAACTGTCAATGTAAGTGAAACTTAATAGCTTATTAAGAATTCTTAACTACTGAAAATAGCATAATTTACCATCCTGATGGGAAACTCGAAGCACTGAGACTTGTGTTTTAGCCCTGTTACCAGCCTCTTTGCCATGACAGCAATTTGAACTTACTATTTGGCCTCGTATTAGTGTTAGCAAAGTATTCATTTCAGTCTTCTTAGCAGGTTATAAGCGTCTGTCATCATAGCAGTACCTAGCTTAGTGCCCAGTATAAGTTAATCACTCAATATGAGTTTGGTCTTAACTTATTTCAGTGTATTAACATATATTTGTATTATGTATAGTGAATACAGAAATACGGCTTTTGCTTATTTGGCTATAACCCTTGTTTTTCTTTGTAATAATCAGATCTGTGTTTCAATTTGGAGCTCTAAAAATAGCTCAGGTATTTTAGTATTAGTTAATATGAAATAATCCCCTAATGGATTCTTTGGCATTTTTTTCTTCTATTAAAGTAAAAAACATCCTAAACAGTGGACAGCATTTTATATTATCAGCCTAAGTATAGACTGCTGAGTTGTTCACTGTTTTTTATAATAGTTTACAAACTCACGGGCAAGGATCTTGTGTCTTTTATACTTTCTTGTATCTGTGGCATCTAGCATGATACCACATAGTAGGTGCAAATGAAATATTTGGCAGTTGATTTGACCACTAATATCTGTGATGTTGTGGAAAGACCATGGGGTTATAGAGTTAGACATTGGATTCTCACCTGCTGTTGAGTAAGTTACATGGTAAGTTGTGCTGCAATTATACCACCTCACTAGTTTGCTGGGAATGTTAAATAATGTGTCATTATTTATGTATGTTTATGTATAATATGAATGCATGTTTTAGGATCACTAAAGATACTGTATAAAACTTAACTGTCTCGTTTTCATCATTACTTTCATGGCTCTACTCTACTGCAAATCTGGATCAGTCTTACTTGCTTGGGCCTGTGCCGGGCACTCACTTGACATTTTTTATATGACTTCATGCGTGAATGATGCATACTTCATGAGCAAAGTGAGATCTGGAGAAGTCTCTTGCATAACGTTACTTGATAAGATAGTAGCAGATGTCTGCTTAGATCCAAGTTCTTTTAACTTCTAGCTAATGTGTTCTCTCATCCCATATTTTGGTTTTTAAATACATACAAATATACACTTATCCAGTGACACATATATATCCCAGTTTCATAAACCATGAGAATAATTTTATAATGGCTCAAGACCAATATTCCTAGTAAGTTACTGGTTTTCTGGACAAGAAAACTGATCCTTCCCACTTATACAGCTCTTTCCAGATAGCTGATGCGCCTTACCCAGGGTCATGTAGGAACTTAAGTTAAAGGCTTGGAATGAGCCCAGGTCTTCTGGATCCAAATCCATTGCTTTCCAAGACATCAACAACTGAAAATATGTAGAGCAGCGTTTGAGCATTTAGAAAATTGCTGGACTTTCCTTTGAGCTTGTTTGAGGTGATGTCCATCGCAGTTCTCGAAGTGATCATTATGTGGATACAAGTATTAACTGTTTTCACCATCACACTAGGAGTGAACTGTCATTTTAAGACCACGGTGGCTGGAGCTGAGTGGATTGGGTAGGCAGGGGAACTGGGAAGTGGGGAATGGGGGATTCAGAGGTGGAAGGGATGCAGATTAGAGGAGATCAGAAAGGAGATAAGGGGGGCCACTGATTATGTATTTGTTTTATAGGATGAACTTGGCAGGGGGGAGTGTGTGTGTGTGTTTGTGTGTGTGTGTACATTCACACACATGCCCCAAAACAGTTTGGTCTGGAACTTTGGAATAACTCATTAGTATATTCATCTTGACCTGGTGTCCTTGGGGAGGGGAGGAGTAGTTTAACTTTTTCATTTCTTTATCAGTAATTGAATTTGCATGGCCTTTTCTGTTTGTGGCAGTTTGAATTTTCCCCATTTGTTTTAAATAACCCATTAAAATGTAGAAAGTTGAATTTCTGGGTCTGTTTACAATATGAACAACCCCTGTACTTTGTGCTTTTATTCTCTTTTGAGCAGGAGTGTGTTGCTGCTGTTCGGCTCTGCGTCCTCGCTACAAACGCCTGGTGGACAACATATTCCCCGAAGATCCAAAAGTAATTTGATCTACATCTCCTGATCCTTCTCTTTGCTGACCCATGCTTCCCCCCTGCTGACCTCCTAAGGTTTTCCGAATTTCATTTCTCAACTTTCACCCCCGAATCTCACCATGTACACTACTGTTTTATACTTGTCTTTCTTCTGCTTTTAAACGACCAGTGCTTGATAGTCTAATTTTCAGATCCTTTATGTAGATTAGGCATAAATTTGGAATGATGGACAGGTGCTGTTCTTTTGTCTATATTGTTCCTAAATGTAAGTAATACTCATCAAAATTTTATGAACTAGTGCCAGATTATTTGTACAGAATGCTAAGAATGCAACTGTGAACACAGTCATGGCTTTCTGCTCTCACCACATTCACAGGCAGGTAAATTGGCAATTACAGTATTGTATGAAAGAATGTTGTGATAGAGAAATGAAGCACAGGGAGCTGCTGGAGTAGGTTGGAATGACATCTGATTTGGGTTTGGGAGAGGAAAGCCTGAAGGAAATGAAATCTAAGCAAAGATTCAAAGAATAAATAGGGTTGACCAACACAGTTTTTAGAAGAGAGTTGAGATGTAAAGTAAGAATCTTCCAGGCAGAGTTTCTTCTCTTTTTACTTAAATTCTTGTAAATTTTTTATAAAAGTCACTTGACTATGAAAGATTACTGGTTTCAAAGCAACTGGGTTTAGTTTAGAAGGTTTTGTTTGACAGTCTTTAATTTTCCAAAACTCCTTTAGTCTGGTATTAATGGATATGAATAAAATTGTTAACATGGATTTGATTTCCAGAATGTGCTTTATTTTAAATGTAGCCAACTATAGAAACTGTTGGCTATCTTAACATTAATTTATGTATCTCCTCAGCTATATCTCATTTTTAGTCAAATCAGATTTAAACATTCATCTACTTGGAGGCCAATCAATTAAATACTATTGGCCACCAGATATTCTACAAAATTTGTGGCATATAAAAAAACCCTAAGGTCTGGTTCCTACCTTTAAGGAGCTTTCCATCCATTGACTGATTTAAAGCAAAAGCAGACTAAATATTAGATCACAGTGCATAAATCAGTAAGTGAAAATGTTAAGTGCAGCAGGTGGTAAAGTTTTTTCTTTTAAAGCACTGGGTTGGCAATCTCTGGAAAGTATTCTCAGAGAAATGAGATTTGCTGAGCTTTGAAGGATGTACACCATCTGGAGAAGCCAAGATCAGTCTGTTTGTTGTGATGGGCCAGGCGAGAGAAAAGACATGGGAAAGCAAGAGATACATTTGAGATCAAGAACCTGCAAATTTTAGAGTGTAGTGGTGGTAATCATGTTGAGCACAAGTTCTGATTTGAAATTTTAGGAGTATTATTTAATGGACAGAACATTCAAATCATTTCCCTCAGTATGGAACAAATGGTTACTGAAATGAGGTGGAGGTCAGATTATGGAGGAATGTGATTGACAGTCAGGATGTCTACTCTATCCACTTTGACTTGTGAGTGGTAAGGGAGCTTTGAAAACTTGACCATGAGAATGATGACAGGTAAATTAGAGAATGATTACAGAAAGAATATTTTTACCAAGTAGTTAGATAAGATTTATTTAAATATCGATCTGTACAATAAGATGAAAAAAGAGATTTACATGAACCTTGCATGCATAGTTCAGTTGACCACATTTCTTATTTTTAATTTATTAAACAAAAAGAAAATCTTCTCATCTATCCAAAATGTATCAGACTATAGATGCCTAGAGTGCTGAGGTCTTTAGTCATAGTCCTTGCCTTTAAAACGCACACTAGTGAGGTGACAGATAACCAAACCATTTCTTAGAATTACTAGCAATATGGTCTTGGGCCAGCCCCTCAGTGTCTCCGTGTGAAATAGAAATTATAAATAGTACTTATTTCATAAGGATCTCATGAGGATTAAATAAATTAACACAATCCTTTGCTCAGGTTGGTTTCTTGGTGTTCATCACAGGTTAGCACTTGATTAGCATTTAAGATTGAAAACACAGTGTTACAAAACATGATAGTAGAGATAAATGTAGGGATAAGTACCATGAGCTAAAAGAACATGTAAAAGGAACATCTCACCCAAACTCAGGAGAGGTGTGAGGTGGAATGAAAGCTTTTGTGGAGGACACTGAGACCTGAAGGACCAGTAGGAGTTACCCAGTTGAACTAGCAAAGAGCTCCGAGGCAAGGGGGTGAGCTTAGTAAAAGAGTCATGCACAGAAGAGTCAGACCTGTGATTGCATTGATGCATGCTGATTCAGAGTGAGGAAAGCAGAGCAGTGGTTGCCTGGAGAGGGAAGGTCATGAGGAATCTTTAGCAAATAATGGAAATACTATGTATCTTGTTCGTTACTGGTGGTTCCATGATGTATACAACTATCTCATTTCAAATTATATATACTTGGGTGTAGTTTATTGTATATAAATTATCCCTCATTAAAATTAGTAAGGGATAAAAAAAGTGGATGAGATGCAGCCATGTTTAAATATGATATGTTACAGTAATTCATTGCTATGTGAAAGTATATTTCAATGCTTTGCCTAAGTGGGGGCTATGTGAAAGTATATTTCAATGCTTTGCGTAAGTGGGGCATTTCTTTAACTTTTTCAAAATTCTCTGTGTCCAGAATGGTGAATATTAGCACTAAGGGGGCTATGTCCAGAAAGGTTCAGCATAAATATGGCTTAGTCACTAATCCAGAAAGGGGAAATAGGAAGCAAGCAGCATTTAGAAATACAAAAATAAACATGAAAATATAGATAACCTATTTATCTTGTTATTATTTTTAGGATGGCCTTGTTAAAGCTGATATGGAGAAACTGACATTTTATGCAGTGTCTGCGCCAGAGAAACTGGATCGAATTGGTTCTTACCTTGCAGAAAGGTTGAGCAGAGATGTTGTCAGACACCGTTCTGGGTGAGGAAAGTCATTGTTGCTAATACTGAGTCTTGGAAAATTCTCCCTAGGCCCAATCATCCTTTAAATTACTTTGCCATTTAGTCAGACAAAAGTGGGATGTAAAAGATCAAACATTGTAATATGATAGAAGGAAATGTGTAATACCATACCGATGCTGCATTTTTTATTACTTTCCTGATGCTCAGATTTTTTTTTTTTTTTATTTAAAAAAAATATATATATATCTTTATTGACTTCAGAGAGAGGAAAGGAGAGGGAGAGAGAGAGCGAGAAACATCAATGATGAGAGAGTCATTGATCGGCTGCAGCCCGAAACCCGGGCATGTGCCCCGACTGGGAATCGAACCCTGATCGACTGGATCCTAGGTCGATGCTCAACCACTGAGCCATGCCTGGCTGTGCCCTGATGCTCAGATTTTAAGAATAGACTCATGTTAGTTAACAGAGTTGCCTTTAGCTTAAGCATCAGTTAATTTCTGAGACGTCTCTAATGGAAATAGTAGAGATTGACTTCCTTACTCTGTTAGTCTGATACAGTAATTTAAAAACCAATCTCTAAATTGAAAACAAAGAGAAAGATCCTGTTAGTCAACTGATTTTTAACACAGCTCTAGTTTTAACTGCCGGAAGAGTAATAAGAGAGAACTGTGTTAGCTTGGATATTAAGGTTCAGAAGTTGTAAGCATGCTTATTTGAAATGTTGCTTGCTGCAAAACTGTCTATAAATAAAGGTCTACCACTTTAATTCATTCTCTGTGCTTGAACAGTAATAACCTAGGTAATTTGGATGAACTACTTCTACATTTTGTCATTTTATGATCCTGGTTTCTTCGGGTACTCTATTTTCCAAGTGGTGATATATTGGCTTTCTCTACTTCCATATTGTTACCACATACAGCATTTTTGTGAGTCTTGATACAAGCAGTTTTATAGTTGATTGTTGAAGTAAAGTTCACCAAAGTCTGAATTTTAATTTTTAGTACAAGCTTTAAAATTTAGTGACTTGTAAGGTAACATCTATGAGACACTTACAATCTGTTGTTGCTAATAATGTTTTATATATTCATGTTTACAAATGTAAATAGAGTATGTTGGAAATTTAGGCACATTGTTTATAATAATTATTTGGGGTCAGATATAAAGAAATATGGTTAAAAGTCTGGAAAACAAAATGTCCTTGTTTACAAAGACAAATATACACAAAGGTCATGTTGGAGAAGCTCTGAGCTCTGGTAGGAAGGAGGAAATGAGTGGGTACCGTCTAGTTTTCCTGTCCCTTAGTATGAGAACTGTTTCATAATCTAAGACTGTCAGTGCTCATGAGAACCAAGATTTCACTTAGGAACTACTGAATTTGCCCTTCTGTATTTTGTGCATTTAAATAAACTTATTTTAATTCTTCCAGTGAAAAGCACTTAGAATTAAGACAGCTAGAAATGCTTTGACATTATTTCTCTCTTATGAGTAGGTATGTTTTAATTGCTATGGAGGCATTGGACCAACTTCTCATGGCCTGTCATTCTCAAAGCATCAAGCCATTTGTAGAAAGCTTTCTTCATATGGTAGCAAAGCTGCTGGAATCAGGGGAACCAAAGCTTCAAGTTCTTGGAACAAACTCTGTGAGTAAAACTAATCACTTAACTAATTTTAAGTTTAATTTGCATATCCAGAATTAATCTCTTCTGAGAACATCTTCACCCGGTGAAGGCAAATGCTCTAATCAGGGCATATGGACCACCGGTACGGATGTAGACGATTAGAGCTCTAGCTTCTCTGTTGCTGCTTATGAAATCTGTGATATCAACCCATCATAAGGCAACAGAAAGTTAGTTGACCATAAAAGTAAGGGTTTATTTCCCCATGTCTTACATGACTTCTGCACTATTTCTGCTTACCACCTTCATTTTCTTCTATTCTCAACCATAATTTGTTAAGCATATGCGGGGCTGGGGAAAGCATATCTGAAAAGGAAAATAAAATACAGTGATAACCTTTCTTCTCTTGTCTTTAGTTTTATTGTATAACATTCAGTCTTTCAGTTCCAGCTTCATCTCTGAGGAAGCTTTCAGGCATTCAATCTGTATGTTCCCATCCAGGTTTTTATTAACAACTAACGGATGAGGAATTGAACCTAATGAACTTGTCCAAAGACACAGTGAAGTAACGCTATATAACAGGGGTTCAGTGCCAGGTCTTTCTGCTCCAAAGCTTGTGTTTTGCATGTAAATACACTTTCATTATTGTGGCTTTAGATCTAGGGGAAGCATAGATTACTTTCCTGTTTTCTTTTTTGTGTATCCAGTTGATCCATCTCACTTTTTTCAAGCCTCATCATGGCTATTCTTAACCTTTTTTTTTAAATATTGTTGCCAGTGGTCCATAGGGACCAGTCATTGAAACTATTCACTTCACTAAAGCTATGGTTCTTAACCAGGGCAATTCTCCCCTTCCTGCCCCTCCCTGAGCATTTGATTTTCAGTGCAGGGTGGGGAGTGTTGGTGGTGTCAAGTATACTGCTGAACATTCTATATATAATACACAGGACATTCCCCCTACAAAGAATTTTTGGTGTCCAAATTTTAATATTGCTTAGTGTGAGAAACTCGACAGCTAAAGAATTTCATTGCTGCTGCCTTTTATTGTACCTTTTGAAACATAATTTAATTCTCCAATTAAATTTTTAAATGGAAAAAAAATTAGGACTTATTTTTTATTAAGTATATACTATGTGCAAGGCAATTTACTAACTTTTGTTTGGTTCTCATTTGAATCTCTCAGCAGCTGTATAAGTAAACATTTCATTTTACAGGTCACACATTTTTTTAGTAAATCCAGTTTCCAAATCTAGAGCCATTTAAGTCTGTTCATAGTCTCTGCACTGTACTTGCCCCATTTTTCTCTAGTCCTACATCTGATAAGTACATAGGTTTCGAGTTTGTCCGACAGCTCCCAGAGCTGCAGGAATTAGATGACTTTTCCATGAAGTCAGAAGGAGGATGTGCTTCGTGTATTCCCGTGGAGTGTAGCTGCTGTGTCTCATCCTGCTCGCAATGCTTAAGGGCAAGTAGGAGCTGCTTCTGGAAAGGATTGCTCAGATCATATTGTTATTTGGGGCTCTCAATAGATGAAAAGAGAATAAAGTTTTTCCTCCTCCTAAAATTTTTTGCAGAACTTTTAACATTTTAATGGCCAAATTTTTATTTCTGATTTTTTTCTAATTTAAAAAGCAGTAAGTTTATTGTAGCAAATTTTGAAAATGCTAGAAAATGTAAAAGAGTAAACAAGTTAAAGATACCTGTAATTGCAATATTTAGAAGTAATCCTTTAATATTTTTCTTAAAATATGTATTAGAAAATGGGGAACATATTGTATGTTTGTGTATGTTTTTTATTTATGTTTTTAAGCATTCCTCATCTCATTTAAGGTTTATTTTTATGAAAAGTATAAATATTTGGTTTAATATTTTCCAAAACTATTTATATGGGTAGCATGTAGTTTGGGAATCTTGAAATTAGAGTTCAACCCCAGAACTGGAATGCCAATTTTACTACTTACTGTGTTACTTTGGGCAGATTTACCTCTGAATTTCAGTGTTCCCATCTCTAGAATGGGGATAAACTGCACATTCTTTACAGGGTTATTGGAATAATTAAATAAGAACTCACGTGAAAACACCTTGCACAGTGTATGATACAGAATAGGTAATAAATTTCAGTTTAATCTCAAACAGCAGGTGTATTATTTGTGACTTTTTCCTAGATAATGTGAGTCACATAAAAGTATAATTTAAAACAGATGACATAATTTCATTTTTTAAAATTTATCTATGCTATTTCAGTTTTGTTTCCAGGAGAATATCAGTAAACTTGGTTGAATAATTCTTTTGGATGTAACCTTTTAAAGCCAGCAGTCTAGATCCTGGGAGCTATTTACATATATATTTAAATTTGCAAATAAGCCAACAGTTTATTACTTCAGGCTGTTTAGTATACAGAATAATCACCAAATGAGTAAGGAAGCTAATGAGAAAAAATTGTGCATATTAGGGAATCTTAGGACCAGATCCATGATTCATGTAGGATATTTAACATTTCCTAGACATACGGATATATATATATATATTTTTAAATCTTTAGAAAGGACACTGAATGCATTCTACCATCACAGTATTCTTCTCCTTTACTGAACTTAGTTTCTTTCCGTTTATGTCCCCTTTTTCTTGTCCTATATTATTTGTGTAAATATTATTTATTCATGTGTTGTATAACAGCTGTTCAGAATTAAGACCCACAATTAAGAAATAAAATTCCCTTAGGTTTGGGCCTGAGAGGTCATCACTGAAGCCAGCACCCAGGAAATGGAGGCGAGCTTCAGAGTAAGACCTTTCCTTCGAGAGAGTGCACTCACTCAAGGGGAACTGGATTAGCAAGTTATACTTACTATTTACAATGCTATAGCCTTGATTTTCTAAAGTTCACTGTTAAAAAATTCTTTTTGTATGTATGGGGAATTTATGATACTTGTTTCTTATTTGGTTATTGTTTGTTGATATAACAAGTAATGAATGAAAGTAAATGTGTTGGTCCATACTTTCAGAAAGGTGATAACACATTTATTTTCTTTAGTTTGTCAAATTTGCAAATATTGAAGAAGACACACCATCCTATCACAGACGTTATGACTTCTTTGTGTCACGCTTCAGTGCCATGTGCCATTCCTGCCATAGTGATCCAGACACACGAACAGAGTATGTATTCTTTTACTTTATGATTTAAAGTCATAGAGCAATTCATTGATTAATACTGTGTTTATATATGATGATTACCAAAGGAAATGTGAAAATACAAGTTTTGCTCCTGAAATACAACTTCCCGTTGCTGTTAGAACTGACTGAAATAGCAAAACTGAGCATCGCTTCTCATTGAGAATCAAGTTTGAGGTCTTGCTTGGAATCGAGTGTCCCTTTTGCTCTCTCCCCCAGTGTTAGAGTCTATCACCCTGTCTTTGATCCTCCTTTTACTGTAATCCAGCCACTTCCAGAACACATCAGGCACACTTCTCCCCAGGACCTTTGGTCTAAGTGGTTTCTGCATAGAATATCTCCTGGACGCCCACATGGCTTCTTAACTCACTTCGTTTTGATTTCTGCCAATGTCACCTTATCCTGAGAGTCCTGCCCTGGCCACCTTTATTTATTAAATAAAAATCCTCCCGTCCCATCCTAGTTACTCTGTCTTCTGCTCATACCTTTATCTAGTCTCGCTTATCTATGGAATATGAATTCTAGGAGGGCAGGGGCTTTATTTTGAGGACTGCTCTATTACTAGCACTTTGAATAGTGCTGGGCACATAGGCTCTCAGTAAGTGCTTTTTGAATGAATACATAGATTGAATGAATGTATATTACTAGTCATTTTTAGTCTCAGGTTCTCGTAACAATTTGAGCATTTTTAAACATTTTCTTCTAGGTGCAACCTTGTAATCTGGAATCAAGTAATTATCTGCTAACATGATCTATAGGTTGAAAGCTAAAAATTAAGATCCAAATGACCCTGGTAAATATAGAAAGTAACTTGAGCTTTATTATAATACACTAAAAAGAAACTAACCTGAATTCGAAGTTATTTGGGGGCAGTTTAGCAAGATTTAGCATGCTTTGTAGTTTTTATTTTTCTTTTAAAATAAATAAGGGAATCTGCATAAATATAACTAACTAGCTTTTAGTGTGTAAGCTACAGTGTTGGTTTACACAAACCAAATGTAAAAGTTATTTTAACTTGGAGAAAGAAAGCTGAGAGATTTCAGATGAAAGATTTGTATCTGTCTGAGATGTTGTTAGTGTAACTTTTCCATTTAGACTCCTGATGTTCTTCCTTTATTATGAGGGCAAAGCCTTAGAAACTATGTAAAGATAACTATCTTATAATAAATTTTCTGTTTCTCCCAGTTGCCACTAAAATCTCTTTTTTTATCCCTAAAGGACATTAAAAATGTTTTATAAAACTGTTTCCTGTTTTCAGGGGCTGACATTGAAATATTAACAGGGCAAAAAAGTATAAAAAGTAGCTAAAGAAAATCGCAATTTTTTTCAATGCTTTAACAATTTTGCTTTCTTTTAAAATATAGAAAATATCCAGAATGTAGTTTTTTGGTTTTTTTTGGTTTAGTATTATAAGGATTAATAAACTACATGTAGACATTTCTCAAATTTTGCTTGAGGTAAGTTTCACATATAAACCAATTCAGGCGAAAAGTTGATGATATCCATAAAATTAAGGAAAGGATACATTTAAGAAATTAAAAAATTTATTACATAAGTTACCATATTTTTAAGTACTTAGCACCCCCTAGTGAAAGATCTTGTCTTTTAAACATATTTTCATGTAACATTTTTCATTAATGTTTACAAAAAGAAACCTGACATTTTCTGTACACAAATGAGAAGCCTTTTAGTACTTTTTTCTAACTCTAGGTCTTTCCAGTATTACATAATACTTGAAATTCCAAAATGACAGTGTTTCATTTGAATCACTGTAAAACAAACGAGCAAACTAAAATGATTTACCATACTTAGGGGACTAGATTTTTTCCTGCTTTGCCTGAGGTCAAAACCCTTTTGGTTTTCTTCAGGCATATTTATATTCCCCTTTAGATTCCAGCATACATACTTATTATCAATCCCTTTAATTTTAGCAAAACCCGATCAAATAGAGCTCAGGGGCCTGAGCAGTAGGAAATGGACAATGGGTTTGATCACTGTTAAGATTTTCTTAAAATATTTGCCCTACAGAAGCAATTTCCACATGTAAAGTCATGCATCACAGTCTTAATCTCTAATTTCCTGAGCAACCTTCAGGTGTGGTAGAAATAATGGTCATTATCAGCATCATCATAATGCTTAACAGCATGAGCAAACTAACACCTATTGAGCACTTATTCTGTGCCAGTTTGTTTAACCCTTTATTGGCTAAGTACTTTACATGAATTAACTCATTTAAACCTTACAGCATTCCTGTGCTTTAGGTAAGAGGTTTAGTTTACTGATAAGGAAACTATTAAATTTCTTTGAAGTCATGGCTAGAATATATTGGTTAGGCCAGATAATAGATCTGAATTGGATGCCAGCTCTGTAGCTGGAGTAGCTATAGGCAGTCCCCAGCTCCCCCAAACAGGGGCAGCACCCTCTGCTGTACTCTGTTTAGGCTATTGTGTAACAAAGCATGAATCATTGTTCTTGTGTCATCTTGTTCACTCCACCTTGTCATCACCTAAGGAGTAGCAACAGGTGCATAAAGCAGACCCCATTGTAGTAATGTTAGGCTTGCCTACTTTTGATAGCTGCAGCGTCTCTCACCCTTTATGTTTTAGGGAGCAGCATGAATAGACACAACTTCGAAACAGGCAAAATTTGTCTCTGTCTCCCAGTTCACTTTCTCACCTGTTCAGCATAGTATTACTACCATTTCCCATTCTCCATCTGCTACCCCTAAATGCCTGTGTCCTTTCCCCATGAGTTTGGGAAGCAGTGCCACCCCCTTCCCCATAGCTGCCATTCTCTAAACCTCTTCATAGGTATTGGAAGACAGTGCTGGATAAGCTGAATAAACTTCAATGGTGAATATTTCCTGTAGTAGCAAAAAAAGAAGTAACAGTCACATTTGGCCAGAGGGACCATGTTTTAGGGCAGATGGGTTACCAATTAACTCTGCTTTTATATGTTGTTTTCTAGTCACTTTTCATTCTCAAACCTACAGATTTTACATATATATATATGTGTGTGTGTGAGTGAGGAAGAGCTTGAGGAAGCTGGGGTTGTGGATTGGGTTGGGAGGATGGGCAGCATTGTCTCACTGTGTGATAACTTTTAAATCACAGGTACACATGATGATGTATATGTAAGTACACACAGATATGTGTGTACATATATATATGGCTGAGGTTGTCTGCACTCCATTTTGATAGTTCTCGTTTGTCAGACCTTTAAAGGAACCAGCGTGGTCTTCCACTCTTCCATCTAGGGGGACAAGTGGAGGGAAGAGCCTCTCGGGAAGAACCAGTGAGAGGTCTGAGGAAGCCCTGAAGGGTCTTCAGAAAGAGTGAAATTCTGTTTTTGCTCAGCATCTGAGATATCTAGGCGAGAAATGGAGAGAATCTAGCTCATTACTTTGAATTATTATCATCCTCTTAGGAAAATCTAATGCTTTTGATTTAGACTGGATGTTACTGTGCTTTACAGTCCTTTGAGACTCTAAATGCTGATTTAAAAAAAATAGTATTGAAAGTAAGCCTCTTTTAGAGCTGCCTCATCTCTTTGTCCACCTTAGATTACTGAGATTTTAATTTCTTAGATGTGTTATTGTGTTACTTTCATCTTACTGACTTGAGATAACAGTATATACTTGGGTTCGTTCTGTTAAGGTAAACAAGCATACTTGTTTAAATAACTTTTCTCATGACTCAGTTTTTTTCATTTTTTTATAGAATTCGAATCGCTGGAATCAGGGGTATTCAAGGCGTGGTTCGCAAAACAGTTAATGATGAACTTCGGGCTACCATTTGGGAACCCCAGCATATGGATAAAATTGTTCCATCCCTGCTGTTTAACATGCAGAAGATAGAAGAGGTCGACAGGTATTAAATAAGCACTTTAGGGTTGAGGCTTGGTTACCTTTGTATAATTGTATGTGTGCTGGCTCGCTAGGCTAACTTGTCTTTAGTTAAGTAAACAGTGGTCTTGTAAACTTGAGTGAGTTTAGATATGTGTCCTTTCTAAAAAATTATTCATCTGTTGTGATCACATTAGGCTTAGTAGACCACAGATTTGGACTCATACACTTAAGGTTTTATTTGTTTTAGAAAGATTTTATACTTCACTTGTTGCTTATTGATCATCCAAATTGTTATTTGAATTAATATTACTTAAAGTTGCAAGTGTAAGAAATAGAGATTATAGCTAAACTTCTGTTATTTTTTAGAGATCCAGCATGCTTTTTTATGAAGTTAGAAATAACCAAAATAATAATAATAATAATAACAATAGTTATTTACTTTATAATTTTTTCAACAAAAAGGTTAAATCGTGTTTATTCCTTGAGTATTCTTCTAAGATTTTTTGGGATAAAAAGGAAATGTCATTATATGTTCCCGAGAAGTAAAATCTGTTCTGTTTAACTGTTAGAACTGGCGATAGAATTCGTATACTCATGTTTATTATTTCTCTTTCTTTCCAGTCGCATAGGCCCTCCTTCCTCTCCCTCCGCAGCTGACAAAGAGGAGAATCCCGCTATGCTGGCTGAAAACTGTTTCAGAGAGCTGCTGGGTCGAGCAACTTTTGGGAATATGAATAATGCTGTTAGACCAGTTTTTGCGTAAGTAGTTGGCATTTTCCTGGTTATTTGTGACTGAACTGTTAATTCTGCGTTAATTTACTTACAGAGGACCGTTACTAATGGACTGTTACTAATGGAACAGTGTAGCATTGTGGGAAGAGTGCAGGATTGAGTCAGATACCACACGTTGGAGCACTGGTTCAACCACTTCACCAGCTTTTTCTTCTTAGAAATGAAGTGCAGTATTGTGCTTGATGCCATGTGCATCATTTATCTTGAATTTCTACCCACAGATGCACAGTAAGGTATTAAAACACACAGTGTCCAAGTACGATGTATCTTATTTTGTTAACTTCTATGGTTGGTTCCTCCTGATGGCTGGCTTTTGTTTCCTGGCCTTCTTTTTGCTGTGGTTGGACTGTCTTAGGGCACATTCCATGCGCTAAGTAAATTTCTTCTTACCCTTAGCGATTAGTAAATATCTCATTGGTATTGTACTCTCCCCTCTGGCAAAACACATTTGTGAGCTTTGAATTTCTCCACATACATGTTGTCTTTCAAGCTTTGTCAAGGGGTTGTGTTCTAACTCAGTCTTCAGATAACAGAGCCACTAATATTCTTTGTAATTTCTGCACATTTTTGCTAGTCTTTCTTTTGTTAATTATTTGCCTTATCCTTTCCCTTCATGACTGTAAGAATGTCTTTATAGCATGTATAAAGTTGTCTACATGTAACACCCAGAATTCTTTATTTAGGGGAAATATTTGGATTTAAAGTTGAGCTTTACATTGCCTGACATTGGCCTGTGCCAGAGACCGTCCAAAAAGACTGAGTGTCCTAGCAGGCCTACCTAATAGAGAGAAACAAACCCAAATAGGCAGCCAAAATGGGGAGACAAACAAGCCCCAAATGAAAGAACAAGAGAAGTTTCCAGAAAAAGAGCTAAATGAAACAGAGATAAGCAATCCATCTGATACAGAGTTCAGAATACTGATTGTATGGATGCTCAACAGCATGATAAAAAGATAAAGAAACTATGAAGGAAATTAAGAATGATCTAGCAGAAATAAAGAATACATAGGAAGGAATAAACAGCAGATTAGAGGAAGCTGAGGATCAGATCAATGAATTAGAAGACAGGGTAGAAAAAACTCACTCAATCAGAGAACCAAAAAGAAAAAACAATTAAAAAACAGGAGGACAGTCTAAGGGAACCGTGGGACAACATGAAACATAACAGTATTTGCATTGTAAGAGTGCCAGAGGATGTCGAAAGTAAACGGGTTAGAGAACCTGTTTGAAGAAATAATGGCAGAAAACTTCCCTAACATGTGAAAGAAAAAGTCACACAAGTTCAAGAGGCACAAAGAGTCCTAAGCAGGAAGAATCCAAAGAGGCCCACACCCAGATACATTATATTTAAAATGCTGAAAAGTCAAGACAGAGAATATTAAAGGCAGCAAGAGAAAAGCAATCTGTTACCTACAAAGGAGCTCCCATGAGGCTGTCAGCTGACTTCTCATCAGAAACTCTACAGGCCAGAAGGGAATGGCATGAAGCATTTAAGGTAATGCAAAACAAGAATCTGAAACCAAGGTTACTCTATCCAGCAAGGCTATCATTCAAAATAGATGGTGAAATAAAGAGCTTCCCAGACAAAAAAGGCTAAAGGAGTTTATCACTACCAAACCAGCATTGTAGGAAATGTTAAAGTGACTGCTATGATTAGAAGTAGAAATAGAGAAACATAGGCATAAAGAATTAAAATGGCAATAAATAAGGACCTATTAGTAATAGCCTTAAGGACTTTAAGGGAGAGATTAACAGCAATACAGTCATAGTCGTGGACTTTAACACCCCACTGACTTCACTGGATAGATCTTTCAGACAAAAAGTCAACACAGAAGCAGTGACTGAATGGCTCACTAGATCAGATGGATTTAATTGATATTTACAGAACATTTCACCCCAAAGCTGCAGAATATACATTCCTTTTAAGTGCACATGGGTCATGCTCAAAGACAGACCACATGTTAGGACACAAAACAAGTCTCTACAAGTTCAAGAAAATTGAAATTGTATCAAGCATCTCAGATCACAAGAGCATGAAATTAGAAATCAACTACAGTGAAAACACTCAGAAACATTCAAACACATGGAGGCTAAAGAACATGTTATTAAACAATGAGTGGGTTACCAATAAGATCAAGAAAGAAATCAAAAACTTCTGGAAACATGAAAATGAACACACCACATTCCCAAATCTATGGGACACAGCAAAAGCAGTCCTAAGAGGGAAGTTCATAGCACTGCAGGCCTACCTCAAAAAGCAAGAAAATTTTTTAGTAAACTATCTAACTCTACAACTTAAAGAATTAGAAAGCTCCCCTGTGAAGGCGTCAGGACCAGGGCTTTTGTTTGCTGGGAGTTTTTTTATTACTGCTTCAGTTTTATCAGTTGTTATTGGCCTATTTATCAGTTGTTATTGACCAGGTTTTCTGGTTCTTCCTGATTCAGTTTTACATGATACTACTCATATTTGGAATCTAATAAACAAAGTAGCCTGAGGAACAAAATAGATCCAGAGACATAGAAGCATGGAACAGACTGATGAATCTCAGTGGGAAGGCGGGAGTGGGGGAGTGGGTGGGGAGAGATTAATCAAAAACTTATGTGCATATTTGCATAACCCATGGACACAGACAGTAGTGTGGTGAAGGCCTTTGGGGGGGGCGGGGATGCAGGGTGGAGGGGATCAG